TATCACTTGGCCACTACAATTTAATAAAGAATTTTAAATAGGTTTATAAATTATTCATCGAAAAAAATTTTTTTGTTTTTACTTAAGACACTACTAGGGTCCACAATTTTTATTCATAACAGCAATTAAAAACTTTTTAATTCAAAATGTTTTACTTTCATTTCATGATTCAGAGCAGATTTTCTGTAACTAGTGGTCCTATTCGAACCCCCACCAAAAATGTGAGGATTTATTTTAAATTCTACGAGAATTTGCTTTCAAATTATACAAAAATCCAACAATTTTTTGAAAGAATTTTCAAAATCAATGTGATTATCAAAAAAAAAAAAAAAAAAATTGAAGGTTCTAAAAAGGATAAAAAAATAATTCAATATAAAAAAAGGAAATAAAACCCTTTTTGTTTGATCTTTCCTAATAGGTCTTGATAATTATTATTTTCATTGTTTTGGGGGGTACATTTTTTTTTTTTTCCATGAGAGTTTCCGTGTTTTAGTGAAGCTTTGGAGTTGACTAGTTAAAGAAAGTAGAAAAAAAAAAAAAAAAAGTGTTCAAAATTATTATTATTAAATAAATAAATAAATAATAATAATAATGAACATATAATTTGCCGCTTGAATAAACTAGGACGAAAGACATTCATTTCTACTAATTTCCATGCGTGTAACATTAGCATTTCTTTTTCATTCATTCACTGAAGAGAAAAAAAAAAAAAATCAATTTGCGCAAGAAGACAAAGAAATACGACATCACTTTTTTTTTTAATTAGTTTACTTTATCGCATACGCGTTACATGTTGTTGACAGAACGAAACTAACTAAAAAAAGATATAAATAATTTAACAGTTAACTTTAATTCAAAGATAAATCACCAACGAAGTTTATTAAATTTAAATAAAAATTTAATCCTATTATTACAGGTGAACCGTGAAAGCAACACCCAAACGGCTTGGTTACTAAATACGTACACCAAAACGATACTAAAAAAGTTAGTAAATCAATGTCTACACTGCATGTACAGGGATGTGCTGAAAAGTTCTTGGCTTGAAAACCTTTCTTCACCGACGTTCACAAAGCAAACATCCGAATTTCGCTAAAATTTGAGTATAAATAATGATTATAATAATCAAGTCAAGTGTAACGTGGGCTGCATGGAAGGAATTGTACGATGTGCATTTAAATGTCTTTTTTTTTTTTTTAAAACAGAAATTTGACAGTACTATGATTTTTATTCTTACACTTTAAACTTATTTTATTTCCTAAATTTTTTAAATGTCATGCCTTCTTGGGAGAGAGAAGAGTGGTTGCTATATCAGTCTACCCTGAAGTTAAAACTTAAACCCACGGTTGACATCTATTCTACAGTCAAAGTTTTTTCTACGATTATGTAACCAAACAAACAAAAAAAAATGTATGTAAAAAAAAAAAAAGAAAAAAAAGCCGGCTCGTTCATGACATATTTAAAAATTTTAAATGTTAATTTTTGTTAAGTGATTTTTTTTAACACATACGGCGTATGCAAATTTCTTTTTTTTCTCTTTTACCACTGATTTTTTTATACTTCAAATTAAGTGAAAGCGTTTATTATCCCTATTTGCACTTTTAAGTAAATAAAAAAAAAAAAAAAAAAAAAATTAACCGCTTTCCATTACGATATTAAAAAAAAGTGGAAAGAAAGATTAAGTCTACAATTCGTCAGTCATAAAAAATAATTATAATAGAAAACTAAAGGGGAAAGAAAGAAAAGATCTGCAGATGTAAGAAAACGAGATTAACGGGTTAGGAGAGAAACAAAAGAAATGTTTTCCCAACTTTGTAAGGCAAAACAATTAAAAGGCAATTTTTACGGACATAAAAGTGAAACTGCTAATTAAAGAGAAGAGTAACGTGCGTTAATCTGAGGGGGCGTTAACTGAAAATGACCTTTAGTGAGGAAAAAAAAAAAAAATAACGTTCATTTTTTTTTTTTTGACTATGTGCTAGCCGATTTTTCAACTTATCCGACTATATTTGATTTTGAATAAAAATGTCCTACATTTCGTTTTTGTTTGAACAATGGCATTTAAATGAAAGTCAAGCACTTGAACTAAGTAGCGAGGTTGGAAATCAAATCAGACTAAAAAGACTTAATGATTATTACATTAATTTTAAGCATTTGAAATTTGTAACATTTTTTTAATGAAATCCATCGTCAAAACAAGTAAAAAGTACAACAAAAAGACTTCTTTATAGTCTTTCTTTGAGAAAAAAGACTGAATTAAAAAATTATTCAAATTTATATTCCAACACCATAGACTTTAAGAAGAAAGAAAGAAAAACTTTGATCTTACATGCACCATTTTGCTGGCCACTAACTTGAATCCTTTTTGTTCAAATCGACTTATTATTTCCCCAATAAGTCTACGCTGGACACCATCTGGCTTGATAGCAAGGAAGGTCCTTTCACGAGCTTCGGCCATGGCTGGAGAAAAAGCGGATAGTATCGACAAAAGCGTGGCTACCATGTGATAGACTGGCAATAATAATTACTCCCTCACAAGGATCCAGCAGCTCAGTTTTACAATTTATAAAGCAGCTCGAAATATAACGATCGCTCCGACTACAATTAACGAGCAATGGAAGGCAGGGAGAGTTCGAGGAAGATGAGACACGGCTAAGCCGATTAGATTTATTTTCCGCGAAATCAATGAGTGACTGCAGTTGAGAGAGATAACAAGGTGGTTGTAAAATGGCGCGTAACTCTCCTCACAATGGTGTCTCCAAAATTATTTCCTTCTCTCCTCTTTCTATTTCTCTGTTTATGACACATGACAGAATAAATTGTTTTCGTTCTTACTACTTTAATTTTATTTTGACGATTATAAATTTGCTTTTAGCTTATGTGACATAATGAGGTTTTGGCGACGCGGATGGATAACTTTGATAAATGAGTCACATGTTGAGTTTCTCTTTTCTTTCTTTTAAGTTCTTTAAGTTTCTTTTAAGTTTAGATTTTTTATGAATATTTAATCGATTTTTAAAATGAAAAGCAAAATTATATTAAAAATCTAATTGTGGTCAGCTTGAAGGTCATTCAGTTACGTATTTTTTAAACACAGTGATTGGCGTTCAAACCCAAAATAAAACCAACATTCTGAATGCTGATTTTTAAGGAAGACGCTCACCCAAATTGGAAGATTGGCACAACACAAAATTCCTCCGTCTATTCAGCCTTGTTCCCTAAGCTTGGTTTTTTTAGCAATCTACTCATGATTAAGCCATGTCAAGGTTGACTATGCGGGTAACAGCTTTATGATACTATTGCGTGACTGTTGGGATTTAATTTGACAACAATATTATACAAGTTCACATTCTAGCTATTTTTCTATCCTCAATCCAACCTCGTTTTACTTTCAAAACCGGCTCCCAAATCTTTGATTCTTATCAGAGATAAGAAGAATATATTTTCTGACTAACGAGAGAGCTGAAAAATATAAAATGGAATTCCACCACCATTATTCTTTCCATGGTGCCATAAAGTTTGGGGGAAACCTTACAGCCTGTTCACTCCAACCTGTTTTCATTACTTTCCTAGAGCCCTGATTCTTATCAGAGATAAGAATGTGTTTTCTGACCAATGTGTTTTCTGAGCCAGGAAATTTGTACAACGATTTTGGAAGGAAAAGTCTTCGATCCATCGGAACCTACCAAACCTCCATTCAGCCCGCCGTCTGTGAGGTCGACGATAGGGAGCTCCAGTCAACTTCAGAACCACTTTCAACCAAAGAAGAACTATCTACTAAAGGGCTGTCGAGAACGAAAATCGGCCCACAATTCAAGACCAATTCAAAGCTGCATCTCTTCACCACTCCTTCTGACGTGCCCACTAAGACTTCTGTCGTCGACCTACGAACTCACTCAACTGCAAGATTCCTTTATCTACAAACAATTTTCCTACTCTACAAGAACTGTGAATGTTTCTAAACCTTAACAAAATTCTACTCGCTTAAAGAACTTTTTAGGCGCCTAGAGAAATATTTTGAGCAAGCCTTTTTTCTTCTCCCTTTCTTTCACTCCTAATTGTCTTCACCCCATTACCCATTTTTTTCTGTATATGTAAACACTTACTTCTTTTATTGTTACACACCGAGCAGGAGTTTTTAATTTCTACGTGCGCGCCTAAAAGAGAGAGTTTGTCCGCTCTAATCTTGCTGTGTTTTTTTTTTTTTTTTTTTTACTCGCATTTTGTCGCAATTTTTTAATCTCAACCCAATTTTTTAACCTAAACCCTTTGATGCGGGAAAGCCGTGACATACTTTCCCCGCATGACTAGTTACAGTAACCTACCTGATATGAGTGCTTACGAAAGCGTGTGTTGCGTGTGGCATGTTCGCTCGCAAACAGATATTGAATGACAACAAACAAAACGATGTAAAAAATATATTGCCAAGGTTTTTATCGTTAAAGAAAATACATAAACAATAATAAGGTTACAGTGCACTATGTAAAAAATATCTCTGCATGTCCATGTAAAGGGTGAGAAAAAGTTGTCCTGATAAGAACACTTTTGGTGGTCGTTGAAAAGTGTTGTCCTGAAAAGTTTATATTGCATATCGTTGTTGTTGGATGGCTGGAGCGGCGGCCAATGGAGAACTGGGGCTGCGGCTGATGATGATGGCTGACTGGTTGAAACTACTGCTGTTGTTGATGGCTGGACTCGTGGGTCGGCTGTCGGCTGCTGGAACAGATACTACACTTTTGTCCTAGTCGTTTGGGGCTGCGGAATGATGTGGTTTATCAAAATGTCACACGGCCACTCTCTTTTCAGTTCGCATTACCATTGTGGCGTACCAGTGATGAGGCATTCTGGTGATGAGATTGTACCTAGGGAGAGGCAGTTTTATGCCTTTATTGTTACTATAAGTACGAGGTGAACATACATAGTCTCAATCAGAAATAATTATCTATAGATCAATGTTATAATGAATGCACATCGTCAGTTCAGACATTTACAGCTAGTACGCGCCACTTTACTTCCATAGGGTTGAATCAACCTCATTTTCCGCGTATTCCATTTGGTTCACTCAGACAGCTCCTTCCTAAGAACTACTACTTTGTGGAACAGACACTCGCGTGGATGCTTTTTCAAACATGACAATATTGTTATACTCTGCTTCAAATTAGACAAAATCGCGGTGAACGAGAACGGAGAACGGTGGCGTCGAGAGCCTGCCTGGCGACAATAGCTGTCGCCAGGCAGGCTCTCGACGCCACCACCGTGAACTCGGTCAACTGACCTGAAACATATATCCATTCGAGACCCATCCTCCTCCAAATCCCTTCCCTTCTCCACATAGAGACAATCTGTACGCATCCCTGTAACGGCAACTAAAGAACTATATATTAACAATTTCGTTACATTTTCTTTCCGCCTCATAGGCTGTTTACTGCTGTTTTTGTTTGTTCTCCCATTGAATCAGAATATGAAAATAACAACTGGTGTCAGCGTGCAGCAAGGAGAACTAACGAAATGAATCCCCCATTAACAAAAAAAAACAAAAAAAAAAAAACAAAAACAAAAAAAAAACTGCAATGCCTCATCAGGCGTCTTGTTTGGATCCGATAATTCCTCGCAGGGGTTCCGAGCATCATACTCGGCCCACAAAACAAATCCTTTCAGAAATATAAAATAACAACATAAAATAAGCCAGAGGAAAAAATATGATCAGGTGTGGAGCTTAGGAGCCGCTACAATTTGCCTTTAAGAAAGCTGCCCATAAACGACTGGATCATAATCGCGATGAACGGGCCAGTTGTCAACGCCCGGCAAGTTCTTAACGTCACCACTTGTGACCTCGTACAACCGACCCGACAAACGTACCAACTTTAGGCCTTACCAACTCCACTCTTCTTTTACAGACATTCCACTCGCATCCGCTATATGGGTAATACAAATATTTTTATATTAACAATTCATGTCTTCTTTCCTTTCGCATCACCAGCGGTATTCTTGCTTCGTTTGTTCTTTCGTGCTACCATACGCGTATTTATAACAATCTTAACCTTTTCAACTACAGGGTCAATCGTTATCTGTTCTCCTTATCCTCATAATCTTTACATTCTACTTCCTCCTCTTACGTCCATATGTGAAACCTACTGGGTCTGACTCTTAGTCACTGCCACCAATATGTGACCCGGTCGATCGGCAGTCGTCGCTACCCGGCGGGATCCTTTGGTCAGGGTACCAAATGGGATGGTCGGTCGAGTCTAACGGCACGAATAAATAACGGCTTCACACCAGATGCAACCGGTTCGACATCAGCTCCGTCGTTCTCAGCTCGCTTCCAATGACTGGTTACCGAAGTAACTACTTCTATCTTAAGTCTAATCTACCCACTTTGTGATTTTGATCTTAGGTGAGTTCAAACTGGAGTTGACATCGCACAGGCAAAAAGAAATAAATGAAAACCAAAAAGGTTCGGGTATGCTTAAAGAAAGCAAATCAACTTTTATTAATCTGTTATATACAGGAGTGTGTTTTCTTCCCAACCCGTTTCTTCTGAGAGTGACACTTTTATACTTCTAAGTCAACTGGTTTAGTTTTTTTAGGCGCTGGCTTAGCTTCGTCCATCAGTATAACTTGCTGTTTGTAGAAAGGCGAAGTCGGGGGCTCTCGCGTCGGCAGGAATCGTGGAATATCTCGGTTAGCTCTGCGCGGCAACTCCCTGGCTCCTGCTCGCGGCTGCTTCTACTGCTGACTAGCTAATTGACTGGCGAACTTCCCGAGGGCACTCGCTTATATGGACTTAAAACAAAATCCGGAGTTGGGTTAGACGCAGCCTGGGGTTTTCGGTGAATCCACGATTTTCAACGAGGGTCTCTTTGTTGTCTGGCCAGGAAAATTAATTACTTCCCATTTTTAGAAAATTAATTACTTCCTATTTTTTGGTGGGGGGGGGGCCTTCGTTCGTGAGGAGAAGTTGCAGGATAGCTATTCTTTTAAACTCCTTCCTCCTTACATTGGTACCTCACACCAATTCCTTTTGGTGGGCGTTAGTGACTTCTCCGTCTCTCTTACTATTTTACCTCCGCCTGTCACTACTGCTACCACGCAACCAATGGCGTCTCGGTCGTGCTGGCGTGGTTAAGCTTGCTTCATTAATTAACTCTTTGACACCTCTGCTTATTTAGGATTTCTTATCCTGTTCCCAGATTATGAGCAGTTAGAATTATCAACTGGGATTTTGTTTACGCAAATCCTTCTTGTGCCCTACCAAAATTCCTACAATTAATATATGGCCCTCTCGTCTGGCCATTTCCTCAGTCATATTACCCGTTTATGCAATATCTATGCACTCTCGAACGGTAGATCGCATCTTCGTCGGTTCTGGTTAGTTTGTATTTTCTTAACCAGCACTTTTAACGACCACCATCAGTCAATTTTCAAAGATTGCCACATTGCCTTTTCGTAAAATTATCGTTGACGCAATTCTTCGTTTTCTTGAGAAAGAAATAAAATCTTCTT